GAATGTACGTCAGCGATGCCTGTATTGTAGTATTTGTACAGGATAGAAAGTAATTCAGTGAGATCGCTGACCGAAAATCAATGTTTTAAAACTTGTTCTTGACCCTAAAGTGCAAAGATCACCTTTTATCTGAAGGGCCAGTACTTGAAAAGGTGTAGCTGATGCACAGTTCAGTTGATGTGTGCCTGCACTTTACCTGCATAGATCACAATTTGAATCTGTGGTGGTTTTTACAAATGCACTGGGGAGTTAGTTGGCAATGGAGTAAAAGCTTCAGAAGAGAAAACATAATACATAATACATATTATTAGTAATGCATAGAAACCGTCTAAGAAAAAAAATTCTGGTATTGCACACTGGCTGGGTATTATCATAATGCAATGTGTGCAATACCAGAATTTTTTTCTTAGACGGTTTCTATGCATTACTGTAACAGCCTAACTAACAGGGCTTGAAATTGACTGTACTTTTTCCTATGTACCTTAACTGCACTGATACAGGTAACGTTGAAAATTTCACCTGCCTACAAAAGCCCAAATGTTACAAGATCCTGAACTTGACAGCAATTTGCATATCCCTGGCAGCAGATATGTCAGCTATAGAAGTTGACGTTGGTTGGGTCGATACAAATCGAACTCTGTATACCATTTGTAGGCTCAAGACTTCCTGAGATGATCTGATTGTTTCAGTCATTGCCAGAATATTGACATGAAATCCAATATTGTTTCATCATAAACGATGGAACTCAGCGGTAGAGGAATACATGTTTCAAACACTCCAGTAATGTAGATAGAAACATTTGTTAGATGTATAGACTAGATACTTTATTCATTCCATTATAATTAAAGGCTGATTAGAAGGAAAATAGAAAGCCATCTCATACCAATGTTTTGCAAATGGCTGCCACATCTTGAGGTCATTGACCTGGTAATCAATATATCACATGTCACTACGTATGGGGCGAGTAACCCTGAAGGTCATATACATGTCAAAGACATTTATGCATATCATGTCTGTGGTGCTAGAGGATGCTGGGTAATTATTGTTGTTCGGCTCCATTTGACCCAAATATGACAATTTGTGCCAATAAATTTCTTAAAATATGGAACTTTTACTGGTTAACCTTCATTGACAATATTGGGTTAACCTTCATCCTGCAAAGGTAGCCATCTGGCACCAAATTTGTGAAGTTATGGGATTAGGAACACAGAGAAGGTTAAAGTAGTGCAAGCCAGCTGTATTGTGACTGACAGTAGTTGTGTAGTTGTGCTGTATATTTGCTGATTTCGACCTAAATACTTGCCACTAGGGGGTCCTTACTAATGCTATCCTATTACTAGTACCCCCTCCCTGTCTCCATTCTGTCTTTTGTAATTCACTAATTGTTTAGCAGTCTGCTTATAAAGTGTTATGATTCAGTTCTTTTTTAAAATATGATCTGAAATGGTGTCAACTTTGTATATATTATATATTTGTATTTTCCTTTCCTACGATATTACAGTTCATGATATCATATGTTATTCTACATTATAATTGTATGGATTACTATAATTCAGTTTGTAGCCAGAAAGGGTACTCCTCTGTGATCAATCACATGCCCTGTACTGTAGCTGACAGGTACAATTAACAGATGTCCTCTTCAAATGATCCACCCTACAGGAGTGTATTCTATTATCACAATACATTTGTACGTCCTGTCCCAAATACTACAAAATGCTTGGCCATTTTACACTGTCTTTTTTGTTGGTTTGTTTTTATTGTTTATTTGTATACATGAATGTTTAATTGTTCTTTTGTGTTGTTTGTGTAGCAGCTGGAAATGTGGAATGAAAAAGATACATTTGGGAACTTCATTGTTGTTTATTTAGCCATTGAATACATTCAGTGTCATTCCTGGCTTGTCAATAGAAAGCATAGAAGCTTTGTTGTTTGTATTGTCATGATAAAAGTCTCAAAAGGTGATGATAACTTGAAGAAAAGTCCTAAAACCATAGAATTGTCGGAAATATGCTTTTGTATTTAGCCAGAAATCAATCCCAGCTTGTCGAAAGCAAAGCCGAGAAGCTGTACATGTTTTGTTGTTTGCGTTGTCATCCAATTCTCGTTTAGTTAGCCTGAAATCTCGCTGACCTCAAACAGAGGTCACATGTTTGCGGCAGGTGTGTGACAGGTGGAATTAGGTCAAAGGTCATAACGGTTGTTTGTATTTTTGGGTAGTTATGTGTTCTGCTATAAGGTTGTGTTATCATGGCAAATACTGTACAAGCATTTTGCTATCATTTGTCAATGATGTGAATGCTAAGAATACCTTGAACTAGATAACTTTCCCAGATACATTGTAACTTGCTAGACCAATCTAATTGGAATTCCATGCAATTTAATGATACAAAATGAAATTCAATTTGATTTTTCATATACAGAAGACTGAAGATGTTTCCATGACACTGCATGACAGTTTCTAAGTGACCTGATCCACCCTCTTGTTACCTGTGTGACTTACCTGGGCCTGACCTGATTCTTTTGTTTCCTCTGCTGATCTTACTGTCCTCTTTTTGTTTGTCACCTGAGTTCACTGAAAGGCATCTTGTGTTTACCTGCAGTGGATTATCTTTTCACAAAGGAGGAAAACATGTACATGTACATGCCCTGTTACACACACTGTCACGCATACAAGGCTTGAAATACAACCTGCATATGTACATGTATCAGTGTTAGTGCAGGTAAAATTTGAGCTATGCAGGTATTTCTGATGTCTGCCCACACCTAACCTGTACTGGGTTTATACATGTACTGTGTATACAATGTACTTGTTTTGATTTTCATTAGTATTGACTGTCCTAATATTAGTAATAAAGTCTAAATGAAATGAAAATGAAAAACTTTGGAACCAACAAATAGAATTGGTCTTTATTTAGTGACATACTAGTATATATGCACTGGTGGAGCAGACTCAGCGGAGGACTTGAAATGATTTTGTAAAGTAGATTTATGGCCAAACCTGTACCACAAAGAATTGGATACCAGTTTACATACATATTGTGACACTGACAGATCTCTCACTAACATAAAACATCAAGGATTTTTTAGACAGACTATGCTGAAAAGTTGAATTTTAGCTAAAGATTATTTTGAAAAATACCTGGAAGGCCCCAGGCCAAATGCTTCAATATCGTAATAATGCAGCATTCAAATCCATTTAAGCCTTAGATCAAAACATTAGTAACAGGACACCAACTTATCCAATTAACACCTGAATTAGTGCACCCTTAGGATCATTTTATACACGAAGCAATATTCTCTGAATTTTGTAGTTCATGAATTTGTTTATGACAGGAACTTCAGTCAAACCCATTTGTAGTGGCCATTCAAGGGATGTACATAAAATGGTGAGAGCAGACAGGTGGCCACTATAGATATGGTCAATGGGAAAAATGATCTACATGCAACTTTCAAGGGACCACCATAAAGTGGTTAGAATGGCCAGGTGGTCCTTATGTAGAGGCAGTTACTAGCATAGGTTGTACTGTGTACATGGTCTCAATAGTCAGGTGGTCCTTCTTTAGAGGGTACTAGGTACATTGTAGCATAGGTTTGATTTATAGTGACAGTATCATATTCATACAGAAATGAATGTATTTTACATGTTTGTACAAGCGGATATATATGAAAACAACAGAAACTAAAATTCTATAGCTTTTAATTTATAAGTTATTGTAATTATGTGACAGTATTAAAATACTACCGTAAAAAATTAGTTTTCTAAAGTTCTCTAACTCATTTTTTCTGAGGTCATTGTCTCTTCATTTTATTATTAAGCTACTTACATATACAACTGTACAAAGTCATGCATGTTAAGTTGTCCTGAAACCCTACCTAGTGTTTGCTGTCAGTCAGTGCATAATATAGCCATACACAGAACTGTCTCTAGTGTAGAAACTGATGGATGTCCCAACTACTAAGTACCTAATACCAGCCCAGAAGAGAACAAGAAATAGCCACGCATTCAAGTACCAGAGTTATCAACCAAGGATTGAGGTGTTCAAGAATTCATTCTTTCCTAGAACTATCGCAGAGTGGAACTCACTGTCACCAAGTACAGTAGGGGCATTGTCAATAGATAGCTTTAAACAATGTCTAGAGCTAGAAGTTCAAGGGTTAGGTGTAACAAGTCGATCGGTGTAATATAGCCAGCTGCCGCCGCGCCGCGTGCCTGCGAAGCTGGTGTTACGCCAAAAGGCGGTTATACCGGCTATACAGATACAGATACAGAAAGAGAAAGTTGGATAAGTTGAGCGATGATGTGTCTGACTTTGTTTGGAGTCATCAAGGCAGATAATCACATCCAGTAAGGTACGCTGAGTCCTTTTGTAACGCCTTAACACGCCACAGGGTAGGCAAGACTGTGCTAGGGTGATAACGCATGAGGGCCAAGACAACACAGTAAACTGTTTATAATATTACAGAAGAAAACGTCTAGCCCCTACCCCAAATCACTTGCAAGAGACCAAATAATTATCTGAATTTTTAAAAGACTTTTAATAATAGTTTTATTAAGCAAGAGTAGGGTACAGATTGTAATCGGACAGAAAAGTTGTAAGAGACATCACTCTTGTCAATCTTATAATAAATTATATGCACATTAGGACAGAGATTGACAGAATGGGCCATTCTACAGCTAGAAATCTTGTCAATAGACTCCCTGTAACTGACAATTGACTGAATAAGAGAATATTTATATTCTAAAGTCTACTTCTTGACATTCATGTATGGATACGCTTCATTGTAAATGTATAATAATGTGTTTTGCTTACTGCTTGATGATGAAAAAGTGTCTGTATCATTCTGTATCAGTGTATGGGTATGACCAGTTTTTTTACCACCCTTCACGGGTACTCAGCGTGGTAGCAGCTGGCTACTAACTTTGAACAACCTGTCACACCCAACCTTTACAGTTGTACTGTAGCTAAGTCTGATGTCTCTGTTGTGTTTTTTTGGTTCAGATCTGCCTGAATGGGATGGAGGTCATCAGTCATCTCATCATCCGGCTCAAGGAGAAGTTCAGACATCACATCAACACAGGTCAGTGGGTCACAGGTTAAGGGTCATGTCAGAGGTCATGGATGCTAGAGGCTGAAAGGTAACAGGTGGAAATGAAGAGAGGAGGACGAATATCAATATTTTTTTTTTTATAGTTTTCTTAATTGTTTTGACAATTCTGTTCACCATATGTAAATATATTCCTAATGACTAATTGGTGAAGTGTAGTGTCATGTTAAGGGTCACAGGTAATAGAAAAGAGTCAAAGGTCCAAGTTCTGGTACTTCAGGGAAAGAGACTTCATGCCTTTACCAAACTGATGTCAACAAGATTGAGATTCATCAGAAGGTGAGTTTAGCATAGAACATAACATAACATTGTTGTTATTATCATGACTTGTTTCCATTAGGAAATATAATGTATGTTAGCAATAGCATAGCTGTTATTAGTATTCTGAACTCAGGCTAGAATATTCATCTAGTTTTTGCCATGCAGGCAGCCAGACCCACCCGGAGTAGCCATGTTTAGTTCGGGTTCAAAGCAGCTTTGATTTTTCGTTCCTACGAGGCGGTGCCTGGGGGAAAACGGCGTAGTGTTTTTCAGTGGTACATTCGTCAGGATTACGGTACGTCTGACGTCCTCACAGTATGTTCTGGTAGATTCTATCTTGAAGAGGCACCAGGTAGGGAGAACAGACTTCTTATGATATACAATATTTCAGTCACAATATTCGTGAATATTTTAATTAGGTAGGCAAGAGGCTGTGTAAGAAGAGACAGCTTTTTTCAACAACCAGTGGGTTTCATGTAAGAACCAGCCATTGTTGCCCTGATGAAGGTGACAGACGGTCACGAAAATGTCGGATGTACAGTGTAAAATTCTACTGGTTGTTGAAGAAAGAACCTTTGGATATTCTAGTCTTAGTTGAGTCCAAACCTGGTAATGCTTGCTGCTAGAAGATGCAGTCAACAAGGTGTTCACAGCTGGAAGGTATGAAAACGGTTACATTTGTACTGCAAGACTACTTGCTATATAAGCTAAAATCTAAGTGATATAAAATTTTATAGTTATACCATTGATTCTCTGTGACATTATTTTTGTGAATTGTATCCATCGTAAATTGTACATGTATTAATATGTACACAGCTGGAGTACAGTGAAATGTTGACAATGTTGATATTATCTAACAAAATTCACAACAAGGCTATATATGTCAAATCCGCTACAATCTGTGTTATCTTATAACAGATCTTCTATAAATTTTCCAGATATTCAGTCTATATTAACTTGTGGATCAGTTGGCAAATGTCAAATGTGGATATGAAGAATTCATTTTGGATGGTATTCCCTATTCAATATGCTCCATGCGTTTTTCATTTCTTAGCCCTAAGTCTTGACAGGAATTTCCAGAGCATGTCAAGAAACCTTAAGCTTGGACTTTTGGGCAACATATTCTTGAGATGGTGAAACAATTTATCCAGTTTTTAATCCTCAGACAGCTTTTTCAGAAATTATTTTTATGCTGACATAACATTATAGATGTTGCCAATATACCTTTCAATCATATTGAAGTGTGCAATATTAAATTCATAGTTCATACATAAATGCCAGACTGTCTACCATCATTACAGAGGCAGGTTAGGAATACTTTAATTTTATTCTAAGCAAAATATCAGATCATAATTTTTTTCCAAAATCCTCAAATTCCATTCATTTTACAGTCAGTTTTGCAGGGAGAAACACATTAAGCTGTAAAGTGGTTGTACAATCGTCACAAGATTTTCATTCAGAATCCAGTCGGATCTTGTTAGTACAGGTTGAAGCAAGATTGTGCAAATTACGACATCGTGTTTATTCAATATCTGTAGCCTGCAGACGTATTGGACAATCACATTAACATTTTGCAGTGTACGCATGTTTTCTAGCGATTCTGATCAGCGATATTTGACGTTTCGTCTTTTGATGTTTGTTCCCTGCAGTGTTGCCGCCTCTGATAGACAGACTAGGAGATAGCAAAGACCAGGTAAGTGGATGATGGTTATATGTTAAATTTCATTGTTGTACAGTTAAACCTACCAACTGTAATCAATTAAAAGGTTCTTGAAAATGGTTACACTTACCGTAGACAGATGGTCACTACTGTACAATACTTCACGTAACGTTATACATTAAACACGATTCTTAATGGTTGGAAACAATAATATGTCTACCAACGTTGTAATGAAACTGAAAGCAATTTTAAGTGCCTCTTGTTTCTGTGATTGTTTGGGCAACCTTTGATTACGGTATATTATGCTGGATCAATGTCCATAGATTAGATACTTGAAACCAGGTCTTTGCAGGAAATTTTATAGACAAGTTCTGAAGCAGTCCCTGTACATGTTATTTTGTAGGTTCGAGAACAGGCACAGGAGCTTATACTGAGACTCATGGAGCCAGTGTCATCACCACAGGTGTGTAATCAAGTTGTTATTTCCTATAAATTGCTTTTGACAGTTTTATGATACGAAACAAAATTTCAAGGTGACAACAGAGTGTTGAGAAGGATATTGACTGTGATGGTCTTTTTAACATTTACATCTTGTGACAAGTTTTATGATGGTTTCATGATCAATACACCATAAGATGATAAATTCGGGAAATTTCTGACTATATTTACTCTCTGGAACTACAATTTATGATTGCTCTATTAGGTACAGATTTTTTTCAGACTGTTTTATACTTTATATTCCAGTTCAACCTTTTTTTCTAGTTCTCTATCAGGACCAATTAATTTAATAAAATATTGTTGCATAGGAATAGTATACAATACAGTTTGATCTAAACCACAGAGTGCAGTAATAGTACTTAGTAATAAGCTTTCACATAAGAAGCAATGACTTTTCGGTTGCCCCCCTCCCCCTCTAGGATTCAAGCTCTCTCATCCTTGACAAGAAACTTCATATCTTCTATAAAGTTTTCCCCTGTGACGGCTTTAATTACTGGGTTATGATTGGTTGGAAACTTGAGTTCCTGAGAAATAATTGCAGGCTGGTATTTTCTTAGCAAGGCAGTACTCCCCAAGGTCATGACTTTCATCTAAGTGGACTGGAAAAACTGAGCATGTCAGCAAAACTGTAATGTATTGTGCATAGCACTTCGGCAGAACATCACTCTATGTCCAGCTCAGTATCCTGTTAAACCTCTTTTCTACTGGAGTGCCAATTGCGAATGACAGAGACATGGAAACCCCTGGATTTTTGATGGTGTAGGTTGTCGTAATTTGTGCAAATGTAACAGAAGCTTGGAATTCTCGTGTCTGAAATAACTGTGATTAAAACTGTAAAACATGAATAAATAGTACATTGAATCACTAAGAGTTTAAGGAATCTCCTTTCAAAATATAATTGTTATTTTTACATCAAACTTGAAAAAAAAAACTATTAGCAAAATATAAAACTTCAGTGCCAAATTCCATATTTGCTTGCATGTTCAAGCCCATGTCTGTGTTGTTTTTTCCCACAGCAAGGATCTTAAGAAATTAGATCTTAGTCCTGAGGGTGATTTAAACCTGATAGTCTGAATGTCCAGAGCAGTAAGCCTCATGGGTCTGTCAATATAGAAAATTGGCTCTCCTAGCTGATAACCCTTTTTACCAAGCATGGTGCAGCTATGTCTGTATTCCCTCAGCTCACAATAGACGCCATTGTAGCTTATACAAAATGCCATCAGTCAAGTACAAGGCACTTCAATGGTGAAGCCTCTCCAATTCCATTGGTTGGTTGTCGGGTTTTAGAAAATGATAAATGCTGAACCACAAGATCAATATAAAAAGAGAACCTGAGGGGGAAAGTCGGTATACCTCGGTACATGGAGTTTCTAATAAGATAATAAGAATAATTAAAATCAGATTCAAGTTTGCCTCCCTGCTACATTGTACATTTTATTTTTATCTTGAAGTTCAACTTAATTGCTTCATTTTGTTCATTAAAACATCAGAGAACCAAATAAATACATTGGTGTGTCTTAAAGTTGAAGCTTCATAATGCACTAGCACCAGTGCAGATATACAGCAAACAAACAGATATTCCCAGCCTTGTACCAACAAAAAATTACATAGTCAGTAGATTTCAGACGTACAGCGAAAAAAACAAACAAAAAAAAAACAACAACAAAAAACAAGCAAACATATATTTCCAGGCTTGTACTAACAGCAGAATTACATGGTCAGTAGATTTTGGAGGAATTAAAAAGATTTGGTTGAGCAGAAATCGGGGTCAATCAATGTGTGCAGGGTGTAAATGATGATGGTTGGAGGGTGTTTCTGATGCTCGTCAATAATAAGCCATAATGACTTGTATTGGTCAAATCAGCATGAAGAGATCCATAGTAGATAAGTGGATATCAGCAGGAACAAGTGATTTTGAATTAAGGGCGTGACAATGTATTTCGTCCGTTCCTGGACATTTCTGAGTAAATATTTAATCTCAGTAAAACCTGTTTACAGATAAAAATTAATCCATATAATTTTCAAATGTTGGCTCGGAAAACTTAAAGATAATGTCTACAGTGGCAAACCAACTATAATCGTGTAATAAGTCTGGGTTTCGCACTGTTACAGTTATGTTCTGCTGACATACTCACAGCTCCAATTTGACTTGGAGTAACCTGCATATGCTGGTGGTATTTCCAGCCCAGAAGTAGCTTGTTCCATTGATTTGATTCCATAGAATTTGGAAATGTCCCGGCCTATTTCTTCAAGGACAGGAGAAAGGCAAATTTTATTACCTCCGCAGGTTGTCACATACAATAAACATGTATGATCTATGTACATGACATGTACTTTATAAACCAATATCTGTGACATAAACCAAAACTTACCCTTAACTGTCAAGTTTATTAATGTTTCTGTTGTTATTGAAGAAGTTCAGATAAGGAACATGTCAATTTGTCAAATTTTTCAGGTACAGGACTGGTACATGTACATGTTAGGACCTGTACGTAAACCCATATACCTGTACCTAGTGATGCATACCGGTTCACTGGACTTGGATCCGGACTTGTAAGAATGTTTAGGTTCAAGTCCAAAAAAAACCTAAAAGTCAAGAACCGAGACCATTTCACATACCTCTTTTCTTTCCATACCACCTAAAACCTTCCGTACATTGCAAAATCTTTGCTGCAAAATGAAGAGAACATTGCCATCAGCTGCAGGCATCGTCAAGTACCGGCCTCCATGTTATGTGGCCAAAGTTTCACCCAGACAACATTGCAAGGTTGCCAACATGCAATTTTGTATATGACATTGGGTTTAGGTCTGGACTTACAAGTCCGGACCTGAACCTAAACCTCTGGACTTGAATCCGGACCTGAACCTAAAATTGGGTTTAGGTATGCATCACTACCTGTACCTGTACCTAAAATTTCTTAGGTACACATCTCTAATGACAATATACCCTCTAGATTATATTGATATCAATTTCTATGAAGAGGATATAGTATGAACCAGTGAATGGTACTAATTTGGCCCTCCCAGTTTCCAGCACACAAAATATATTCCCACCCAGTGCCGTGTTCCCAGGAGCAGTCATGAATATTGCTGTAATTATATGCTGGTAGTTTAACCTGTCTCAGGAGAGTTCACCCACATTGGTGTTCATTTCAATCTGGAATCTCCTTGACAGACTGTGGATGTCATTCAGACAACTCATTGGCATTTGTTATTTTAGAAATTGTACGGAGAATATTTTTTTCAGCAGTTTTTGATCCTTTAATTTGATTAAACCTTGTATTGATCAAGTTAAACTAGAAACCTTGCACGTATGTCATCAGAGAATTTTAAGCAACATCATCTAGGCCAGGTACTCTGTTTTTCCATATATAAATTATAACACAGTTGTTCTAAGTGCTCTGATATTTTGATATAAACACAATATTCCGTTTCAAATGCCTTCATTCGAGTATTTAAAAAGTTGGAAATATTGTCTGCAGTTTTCAACTGTACGAGCATACAAAAAATGTTCCAGTTTTGGTTGACTCACTTTGAAGGATGTAGAAATTCATCTGGACATGAAAATCATTTGTCTGTTTCACATGGTTTGTATCAGACCAGACCAATGCATTCCTTTTTTCTGGGGTATATATTAAGATGTTGAAGACAGCTAGGAATGAAATTTGAACTTCAACTTTGTTTATGAAAACTGCGAAGGTTGGATTTTCCATGTGTGTAAATCAGCCTGCTTTGATGTACGGCAAGAGCATACGTTTGGAACGTACACCAGCCTCCAGGTAACGTACGTCAAACAAGTCTGGTTTACACGCAGGGAAAATTTCACATATCCTGTTTTTGTATACTTGCGTGTGTATACAGTTTTCGTATGCCCAGTTTTCGTGTGTACCGGTATTATTATATGTATATCAGGTCTGTGTACACCAAGGTACAGACTTTTCACCTCAGACTCCTTCCTTGTTGATCCTTCAGTTCATGATGATCAACATTCCTTTTTTTTCAACCAGAGAATCAGCAAATTGCTTTAGTCTGGCCTAAGGTAGACATATGCTTCATATTCAGACTCTACACACAGAGGTATTGAGGTTTTACACACCGTGTCCTTGAAAATGGGTTATTCAATTACTCTGTTCATTCGGCTTTAGAAATTATTCCTGCCGAATCAAATGAGGAACTAGACAGCTTGAAAAACTCGCACTCTTGCCAAGAACACATAGTTGACAATTTGTATTATTAGGTGACATTTTACACTCTACATTCGGGACTGCATCTGCAATGCATTGCAATAGTGACACCCAGCTGTAGTACGAATCAGAACTGGTCATTGTCGCTCTAAAAAAATGTGACAGACGGTCACCAAAACATTGCATGTAAACACCCACTGGTTGTTGAATAAAGAACCCTGTTATCTTTATCTGTATAGCAGGTATAACTGCCCTTTGTCGTAACACACCAGCTTTGCAGGCAAGCGTTGCGGCGGCAACTGGCTACATTACTCCTATATTACTGTTATACATACATACAGTGTCTTTGCAGCCTGATAGTCAGGAATATTTCAATACCTGTTTGATAATCTAATCTATACAATACTAAGTAGTGTGTATTCATCAAGAATCTATAAGAATTTAATCTTCAGAAGAAATGACGCTGTGCTGTTGTTGTTTACAGTATGTGTTTGAGAGAATGATGGGGGCGTTTGGACATCGGAACTTCCGGGTTCGAGAGGAGGTGCTGATCTGTCTCGTGGCCACCATCAACACGTAAGGACGAAAAAAGTGATCTTGATCCAGCTTTAGCTCACAGAAGAGTCAATCTCCCACTAGTCCTGACAGAGAAGACACAGATGCTATGTACAGTATTTACAGATTCATTGTACACAATGTACTGGGGAAATTCCCCTAGCTCTTTTTGACAAGCACAATGAACATTGGACTACAGCTTATTGTTGCATCCTAAGGACTGCGACCCCTTCCAGTAGCGTGCATGTCGAGTGAGCAAAAACACACAGTCCAGACTATTCCTCTGCATCTGTATAGCTGGTATTACGTCCCCTCTGTATAACATACCAGCTACTGTATCTGTATAGCCGGCATAACAGCGAGTTCCACTCTGTGATAGTTCTAGGAAAAAACAAGTTCTTGAACACCTCAATCAGTCTATTTAAGGATGTCTGGCCCCCAATTGCGTCTGGCCGGGCCCTTGACCCACTCAAGTATGAACTTGTCACAGCTCTGTGTGTGATTCTGGCTGAAGGCATCCGAAGTGTGCACGTCATTCGAGGAATGTGTTCTTGAAACCCCTGGTTAGGCAGATACGGTAGGTGTATCAGTGCTGGAGTTAGGCAGATACGCGTCTGTGTTAGTAGTCAAGGAGTTAGGCAGAGAAGCATGTCAGTGCAGGAGTTAGGCAGAGAAGAGTAGCAGAGTGAGGTTTAGGCAGATAGGTGTAGGAGTGTGGGAGTTAGGCAGAAAGTGTGTTGGCAGAATCATGTATAGGATTATTCTGCAGATATTACATTCATCCTCTGCTGTTGTACAGATTTATTATGTAGATACTAAATTTCTCCTTTGCATTTATACAGGATTATCATGCAGGTAATAAATTTCTCCTTTATTGTTATACAGGTTTGGTGCTGGCTCGCTCACCCTCAGTAAGATTGTGCCACACATATGTAAGCTGCTGGGAGACCCTAATAGTGCTGTAAGTGGAATTTCTTGTTTTGCACATTTTAATATGTGATATATGAAGAAAGTTTGGCATACATCCATAAACTAGAATTTCAAACTCAAGCCCACGTGATTGAGCACAACAGCAGAATGCACTAGCGCGAAACCTGTAACGTATTGTGCAAAGTGCTTCGGCAGAACATTTCACACAAGGTCGTATTCGCTCATATAAGGTTAACACTCCGTCTGTAGTTTCCAAATGTTATGTCGGAAAAGATATCCTCTGCAACAGGCAAAATTCTGATGCAACGTTGACCAAAAATCCAATGAAAACCGTGAAAAATGGGGGGTTTGCGCAGGCGCAGTACATTCTGCCGACGTGCTACATGATTGCACCACTGCTGTAGATATAGGAATAATTTTTTTGTTGTTTGTTTGTTTGTTCCAGGTTCGGGACATGGCAATCAACTCGCTGGTAGAGATCTACAGACATGTAGGGGAGAAGGTCAGGGTCGACCTCAGCAAGAAGGGCATCCCCTCGTCAAGGTCAGATACTCAACTTTGACCTTTAACTTACTACCTTTGCTCTTTTAGACTCCCACTGTCCCATCTAACAAAATAGTACTGTGAAGAAATTTGCTACTTTAGTAGTATAGAACAAGTTTGAGATATACAAATTACCCTGAAAAAACATTTCAACATCAGTGAATTTTTTTTCTATGAACAAGAAGGCAACCTTCGTCTTGAAACTCTGAAAGCTATGTTGAAAGTAGTGCCCAAAAAGTTTTTTTAGAAGAATACCTATTTCAGAAGAAAAATACCCCCAAATAAAGAAATATATTTTCTTCCTATCAGGTTGTCTGTGATCTTCCAGAAGTTTGATGAAGTGAAACAGTCCGGAAGGATGCTGGCAGTCTCCTCATCCTGTGAGTATTTCTAACTTTGGTATCTGTCCAAACCACCCAAGCCCTCTAGTTTGAATGGCCTCGTAGATGGATTTAGAACATACATTGTGAGCCCATAGGGGGTCCCGATCCAAAGGTTTCGGGTTCAATCCCATTGGTCTGTGGACTGTCAAATCATCAGGTCTATTTATCTACACTTTATAGACTGGTTACTGGGTATATGTAACCAGTACTACAATTATAGATGTAGGCACAGACTGTAGAATGCTTTCATTTTCATGTAGCATCCATACACGAGGGCCTGCAAGGGGGGGTCCCGACAACGCTCTACACTGAATTTGGAAACCTCTCGATTACGCTTTACGATAAATTCCAAGTGACTACAACGCATTACGTAGAATTAAAACGCCAAATACGCTCTACGCAAAATTTTAGAGCGGTCCGTCTACGCTCTACGTAGAATTAAAACGGCTGATTACGCTCTACGGAAAAGGGCTTGCGGACCCCATACACTAGAGAGCTCTGCTAGTCCTGCACATGTGCTGCAGTACCAGTTGTAAACACAAGATGTCTCTCCTGTCTCTCAGAATCTACAGAAGACAAGGCATCTCCACCCAAATTACTGTCTGTCAGTTCTGTTAATCTGTACAGAAACACTTGCTCTCATTGCCTCTGACAGCTGCCTTTCTTATAGCTGAATAGTTCCAGGTTGTTGCTGATTGAAGGAGAAGGAACTACACATACTCCGCTGATCACCACAATTGTCATACAAAGGGCCACTTTTCTGGTTCATTATCATGGGTTAGGTTTTACATCAATCAGAGGTAGTGGTGCCGTCCTTACTGGTACAAAGTCTTACCTTAACCAGGGCTCAAAATGCCTTGCTTCAAAGGTTGTCTGTAATTTGTGGTTCATAATACTGAGCCTGTATTCTTCTTGCTGGCTAGTTTGCTGTTTTTCTGCAGTGTCAGGTGTTTTTCTTCAAGTTGAAGATTGCAGAGGAGAAATGAGCCTGAATGCTTTTTTTTTTAATTGAAAATTCTCTGTGTATTACTGGATATTCAAAGTGTATCACAGAAGTTCTCTGGAATGCAGTTTTGGATCCTCCCCTTAATAATTAGAAGTGAATTTTCCCCTGATACAGAAAGCTGTGATGGTGTTCTTGATAGAGCGTTACAAATTGGGTCACACATCCATGATAGCAGCCTAGAGTAGTTGCTGTTAAGAAACAGTGTTCTAACCAGCATCTGTCTTTCCATGATTTGACTGAATTTTGCTGAAAAAAATTTGCCCAATCTGCTATCTTTGACGGGCAAAATTTAGTGTGTAAATATATGGAAAGAGATGCCAAAAAAGTCACAAAGCTTTGTGTGGTAGAAAAATTTATTGCATACATTTTAGACTTCAATCCTGTATTGAAAAGTCAGTGTGTGAACATCTGTATAACTGTGTATGCATCTGGATTTTCAACCTCCCATAAATATCCAGTGACTGTACAAGACTGTCATATGTGGGAAATATAATATACATGGCAGACTTGTGTCATGTTAGTGGTATTCATAACATACATTATAATAAAACATCTGATATGGCTATAACAGTTATTCTTGTCTGATCATCAATATGTAACATTGCAGCATATACCCTCTATGTAGTATAAGGCTGGCCTCATAAAAACAGCTGTAATATTATATGCTCTTTACATGTAAAGTCTTTCATATCTACTAGACATCCATAATTTTAGTAGGTTGTAATGTTCAGTGCAACTAAAATATTAGGTGTATAATCATAATTTATTAAAACTTTGGAAGAGTATTAAAGATGATGAACAAAGATTTTGAAAAAGATTTACTGAAAAGTGAAAGGAAACATTTTGTTGATAATCATACAAAATAATCAACTTCTGTAAGTAGACTGTTATCATAATAATGTATTTGAAAAGAAAGAAAATGCAAGATATTAGGCAACACATTCCTTGTTTATCCCAAACAATGAGCAAAATTAGCAAGTTGCATCTTACATTTTGCATTCATGATCTACTTAAATATCAAAGCAACTACAGCCATATAAATTGTATGAGGTAAAAATTACCCAAGCTCCAAAGTTAACTACAAGTATGGTTTTCCTTGTTTGGCCATGGCAACAATGACTACAAGTAGTACAATGTGCCCAGCATGTAGGAATGAAGTGTGACCAGTCTGTATGTATTGTGACAGACACATGATACCAGGATGAGGGCAGTGCCTTCTGATCTGCAGCCCAGATAGGCAAATTTCCCAGTTATTTCCAGGATGTTGGTCTTACATGTACATACTCGGGAACTAACAACTGTTAAGAGCGTTCGGGAGGTCAGGGGGGAAGGAGTTCCTGGGAGGTAAAATGGCGTTTGTTTGTCAACATCGGAGACATACAGTAAGACTTGGAGTTTGTAAGTATTGTTTTTGAGTATCTGAATGCATGTCTGACAGTGCCTTTGTTGGGGTTAGCCTTGAGTAGGGTCCTTCCGTCCCAAAGTTTGGGTATCTATTCTTAATCCGCACGAAAGCTGGCATACAAAACAGTAGGTTTGTACAAGAATGCGCTGAAGAGATAGTTTGAAACATGTCAACTCATTAGTGGCTATACATGTTTCTAGCAGACTTTGTACATGTATGTCCTTTTCTTGGCTTGATCTATAATACGCATGTTAGTTGGTATTTTGGGTTTCGTCCAGTTCTTGGTATGTATTTGTGGACAGAATAGTTAAGGCCAGTGTTTATGTATAAACAAGGTATTTTGCAGTAGAAAATACCATGTACATGTAAGCTTTAGTGCACAGTCATGCAGTGTTCAAAACATGTCACATGGCATTTTAAAAACATTTAAAACTTGTCAGGTAACAACATGCCATGATTTTTAACTGTTGAATAAGTTTTATACTTAGTATCAGCACAGTAATCCCAACATATTGGCTTAGGGGTGTTTTACACCTGCCTACTACATACGGTAGCCCTTTTTCTGACAACCTTTCTTTTCAGCCGTCCTTTCTGATTACTGCCAACACTGTAGACTTAAAAATCTGGGAGTTCAGAATGGTATGGTATCCAGGCTATATTAATATCCAATCCTCTGTTAGCAATTTTTATAGAGTTCGATAATAAAGAGTCAATATATACATGTACATATGAAAGTATGAAACAGATGTAAATGTGTTGTATTGGTATACCCAATATTGTGTTATGAATAAATTTTGTATAATAGGATTAGATTTGAATTTAATCTGCCGTAAATCAGCCAATTTCCTAGGCTGAACCCTGTCCCCCCTTACTGGCCAAGCTGCACCTGTTCCTGCATGTAATCTGCAGTACACACTCTAGAGGATTGCTAATTGGGAAATTTTTTTCTGGATCCCACAGTTCAGCAGGCCACACCAATTTGATGTATGAGTTCTCGGATTTTTGCAGGAATTAATAAAGCAGGCAGGTGAAAAAACAAACAGCACCTCGGCAGAACGTACTGCACCTGCGTGAAACCTGTAATGTATTGTACATAGCATTTCGGCAGAATGTCTCATATAAGGTTGAACTTGCGCATATAAGGTTAACATCCCGTCTGTAGTTTCCAAATGTTATGTTGGAAAAGATATCCTCTGCAACAGGCAAAATTCTGATGCAACGTTGACCAAAAATCCATCGAAAACCGTGAAAAGGGGTTCTGCGCAGGCGCGCTAACAAACTGGCCTAGGCATCATGTGATAGACGCAAATGCTACAGTAGTAGTACCATAGGAGTCACAAAGACTAATACAAATGTATATAAAAACGTATGTACTACTTTATATTTCAAACAATGGATTTTTTTATTCAAACACTAGAAGTGTCCATTGTTGTTTTTTAATCCCCCTAGTGAAATTTTGTCAAAATCTGCAGCAAATGAAATGTCTTGTTAAAATATTAACTTTGGATAAAATTACAGTAAAATTTGCTATTCCTGACTTAATGTTTCATGCATGTAACATAAAGCACCATTTTAGATCAGAACAGCCTTGCATATAATCACGATAAATTCTTCCAGCGAGATACAGTAAATCATGAATATTAATATTCGCGTTGACTTTGTTTTATCTGTTTTCGCAGCGTCTCTCCACCATGAAATCATGCCTCTACAAATATGTGTTTTTGAGCTGCATGTACAATATTGTTTCACCCTGCAAAAACCTTTCAATTTCTACTGAAAAAATCAAAGCCCCGTGAAAATAGACCAATCTACAGTACCGTATCAGCTGGTCACATGTTGGGTCACTATCATCCTAAAGGCTCTCTCGTCTCCCAAACCTAATTATGTCCTGTCTGGTCACCCAGATGTCTCCATGTAATAACATTCATGCTGCCTGCCATTAGTTTATTCCTCTGGGTGTTTAACATAACTTGACCACCTGAGAGTTATGTATATATAATCAAGTTTTACATTATATCTTTTAGCAATTAACAATGCATTTCTTTGTTAAATCTGATCATTCAATTCTTTCCATAATATATCCCTCCATTGTAGCAGAGCATCATACATGTAAAACATGTATTACAGATACAATGTGATGTTTTTTTGTTCATTTGTGAATTTTATATTTCTACCTTTTCCTAAGTACCTTTGTTATAAATTTTTCCTGAATATCAGAGAGTCAGATCTGTTTGTTTGTTTGTTTTTTCACTCTCAAACTATTATTTTGCTGTATATTGTTTGGGTTATATATTTTTATTCAAATGATCTGGTTAGATTGTGAATGCAACTGAATGATGCTATTACAAATGCTAATTTATCTCATTCTTTTACCTCATAAAATTGAGTAAGTTTGTATTTCACACCATTTAAATACTTGATTGTCTTTATAAACCAATCCAGACAGGTACCAATTTGTGGCATTTAGGTCATGGAAAAAATGTGTATTGTGTTGGTGAAAACATAGGAAATCCTTGTCTTCTGAGTTCTTAGTGGAGAAAAGCCCCAGGAAATGTAGGTTCCTGTAACGATAACTGCCAGGCATTT